CGTGACGCAACATTGCAGCGATTGCAGCAACATGGCGACCTGCGGGCAACCGTAACGTAACCACCAGAGCCAAAAAAGACAAAAACTCCTCGTGTTATTCTGAAGATATCGCCACAGAATAGTCAAGCTAGGCCGTCGTGATGCATGGTAGTTTAGGGGTGAAACTCCTGTATAAGCATGGTGTGTATTGTATTGTATCGTATCGCATCTTATTGCATCGTATTGTATTTTATTGTATTGTATTGTATTGTATTGAATTGTATTGTATTGTATTGTACACCCACCTTCCTTGACACGCCAGATCCCGCCCCCCGCCAAGACGGCGAGCTCGGCCACCAGCCCCGCGACGTGGTCAGGGCAGCGCACGATGCAGTCCCTCACGTCGTCGCCGGTGCCTTTGCCGTAATCGACGCCGGCGTCGCGCAGCGCTTCCTTCAGCTCCCCCCACCGCCGCTGGAAGTGGTGGGGGCTGCGGGTGCTGAGGGCCGCCACCACGTACAGCAGCACCTCCAGGAGGCTGTTGATGTCAAGTGTTGCGTCAATATATCGACTACCCAGGGACTACTGACCAAGTTATCCTAAAACTCAATATCCGCCATACGTGTCGGTCGGCTACTGGTCTTTTAGACGCAATATGTGTCTTTTACAGATCTTTTCTGCGCCGATATATGCGTCTGTTGTGTGTGTGCGTTGGCTGACTACCGATGTACTCTGCCGAGTCATGAACATTTCCCTGTCGAGCTGCAGTCACTCCAGATATTGTCAGCAGCCCTACCGCGACATATAAGCGCCGGCAACTGCCCATTTAGAAAACTCCGCCCTGACAATAGCACGGCCGTTCGGCGCAGGCACCTTCGCAAACAAGTCAATCTAGACCCTCAATGACAAACTCAAATTACATAACTGCCGTTTGCGGACGATTCGGTGGGGGCACGGCGATGACTTCCGACGTTTTATAGAACGCATGAGCGAATATTCCGAAAGCGTGAATCAACAATGGGCATGCCTGTCTGTTTAATGCCTTGAGGTTGCGCTGGTACAACCGTTAATTGTGTCCGGTGTCAATTCACTTGACCTGATAGAGATTGAGGACGAGTCAACATCTGGTAGACACGTGATAGATAACGCGATTAAGACCTTAGTAGTGGGCGGAAGCGTAGCTTATAAAAGGCCTATACCTCTGTATCGCAACTCTGCATAACCACCCCGTATACAAGATACGTTATCCGGACTGATGTGTCTAACTTATCCCTCACTACCTTAGTCACGAAACCCGATCCTCAGGTAGAGCTTAATATTATGAGTTCAATGTCGTGAATGAATGCAACCTCGGACAATTGGGGCAGACATGTTGCCCGCGGCTGGCTCGCCGACTGCGGTGATTTCTGACAGGATATGAAGGGAGTAAAAGAAAGGCAGCTTACTCCGCAACACATGAATGCGGGCAGTGAGAGGCACGTCGTACAAACTACAAGCGGCCGTGCTATTATAAACCGTTTAGAGTTCGTAACTCCGCATGCAGCCAATCATTGACGACATAGGCCGCTACGTGTACTTAAGCTGCTTACACGTGTACTTAGGCCGCTTATACGTGTACTAGGCTGTTTATAAGTGTACTTAGGCCGCTTATACGTGTACTTAGGCTGTTTATACGTGTACTTAGGCCGCTTATACGTGTACTTAGGCTGTTTATACGTGTAATTAAGCCGCCTATACGTGTACTTAGGCTCCTACGTGTACTCAGGCGGCAACGTGTACTCAGGCCGCTACGTGTACTCAGGCCTCTACGTATACTCTGGCCGCTACGTGTATTCAGGCCACTACGTGTACAAGGAGCATACTGACGTATGTTAGGGACATACTGACGTATGTTAGGGTCATACTGACGTATGCTAGGATGTTAGGAGCATACTGACGTATGTTAGGGGCATACTGACGTATGTTAGGGCATACTGACGTATGTTAAGGGCACACTGACGTATGTTAGGGGCATAATGACGTATGTTAGGGGTATACTGACGTATGTTAATAATGCCGTCAGGTCGTTGAAGGGCAAAGTTTTCATGCATTCGTGTGAAAACAAATGCAGTGCGTGTGATGGGTGCGAGTGAAGCAAGTGCAGGAGAGAGAAAGTACGCTCAAAAATTCCCGGATGCTGTAATATAGATGCGGAAATTGGTAGATATTTAAATACAATAATTTAGTAGGTATGAATTTCTAATTCATATTTTTTCGCAGTAAATTCAGCTGCTATCATCCTCTTATTATTCGAGGCAGGGTACTTGTACTACAAACTTTTCATGACTTGTGTTAACGTGAATATTTCACGAATTGTGAACGATACTCATAGCGATGAATGACGATGAAAACGTCACTGTTTCTAAAAAGAATATATACGTCATGAATATATACGATTGAATGGTATAGACGTCGCTCGTTAGCATTACTATTGACAAAAGAACAGCAGTGAGTTGAAACAATTAACCGAATTGAGTTGGGCCAATTAACCGTAAGCAGTGTAGATTCATGGCATTCAAAAGCGGCGGCTCCACACAGCCACCTCCCATGACAGCATTCAGCGCACTGTCCACGCGACCCTAGCCGCAAAAATATAACCGCGTCAAGCTCGAGAGGTTTTGAAACACTTGGGTGTTTTTTTCTCTCAGTGTAATTAGGCATATATAGTTGCTCTCATCCATGATTCTAGGTGCAAAAAAAAACTCATTTAAAAAGAGATCTACACCATATATATCAACTACCGTAAGCGATACACGATCGCTAATATCAAGTTAGCAGCCAATCAATACGCAGGGAAATTATCATTCGATCGTAAATCTGATATATGTTAATTGCTAAAAAGTTAAAAAACTTGTTAGTGCGATTGAAAGTTTGTTTGTCATTGAGCTATGGTAAAGCGTTGACGACTGCACGCCACACCGTTCTAGGGAGCGTACACAACATTGTTTTCGTACTTCAATACGATTTCTGCCTTGAATTATTTCCTTTAGCATCTCCCAAGCCTGTTTTCAGGTCTAATAAATTTCGCGATGTCTGATGCATAATGCGTTTATTTTATATCCAATTGACAATTATGAACTGAATATTATAGGACCTGGCATATTATTACGTTCAAACTTCAACCGACTCAATGAACGTACAACTCAGATAAATGGCTGGGCTAGAAGTGACACATGGAGCTGCATGTGGGCCTACCTTGAGCTCGTAGTTCCTAGGATCTGTTTGAGAGGTTCTTCCGTGTCGATTAAACGCCCAACAACGTAATGTGCAGCCATTGTTTCTTGGACCGACTTGTGTTCGAAAGAATTGGTTGTTCCTCCAGATAGCGATGGCTTCACTTTAAGCATGGCGCTGAGGAACACTCCAGTGTCAACTGCAACGCTGGCGCAGTGAGCCCTGATTTTGTCACGGCACTGACGCTTCAGGCGTAGCAGCTCTTCGTCAGTGAAAGTGACTTGGTTGTGTGAGAGGAACTCCAGCGCCCACTCGCCAACGACCATGAGCACGTCATCGATAAGAACATCTTTATCTAGGACAGCGATATCGCAGAGTTTTGCTGCCACGACTGTTTTTTGTAAAGCTAATACGTCTCTCGACAAGTCATTGAAGCTTCTCCATCGGTCAATATTTTTCGGAGTCTTATTAAAAATTGAGCAGAAATGCAGCAAATTTATGGGCTCAGTGAAAAATTTCTGTAATTCTGGGTCAAGTCTGGCAAATCGTTCTCGCATCGCGCGTGCCCGCGCAGGATCCTTGTTCAGACTGCGTCCATATTTTTCGATGAACTCCAACTGCTCTTGTAGCTCAGAGAGAGGAGCAAGACGGTACTCGGTGAAGGTGGCGTCATTGTTTGTGATAAATTCTTTGACGTCTTTGAAGGCTTGATGACGACTTGTGATCAGAATTCGAGAGTTAGAGTGCCATTCCGTTTTCAGGAGCTCACATAAAACAGTCATTGACATTTCGTTTCGCTCATCGAACCCATCGACCAGGAACAACACGTGAAGCTGCTTCAGAGCTTGCGAAATGCTGGCTTTCTCACCTGGTTCAGTAAACAAGCCTTCAAAGTGCTTCATGAAGACTTGCTGCAAACTGCTCATGGTTCTGTCTCTGCACTCGATGTAGACAAGAATTTCAAATTCCTTCAAAAAGTTTGGGAACCGCGATCCAGAAAACTGTAGAGCAATGTTCTTGAGCACGTTCGTTTTACCCGCCCCTACGACACCCTCAAGAAGTATAACTCCATCCTGCGAGTCAAAGATTCTGGTGTAAGGAAGAGGATTTTTGTTTTGTCCGCACGGTGCCACTTTAGGCGAATAAAATACCTCTGATCTTTCCACGCAGCCAAGGTCTAAAGGCAGATTTTCGTTGAAGTATTTCTGAAAACGATCGTTTGAAATTCTTTTTCCTTCAGTAAGTACACGATATGTCACGTGAGCCAGCTCACTTCTACCCGGACTGTAGCTGTTTTTCATATCTTGTTGCAGCTCGTCTTTCATGTCCTTCGTTTCATCTGGAAGAAGGGCATAACACTTTCCTCCTTCATCAATCAGCTCGGTCAATTTAGTTTCGATTTCAGGCACCTTACTGGGATCCTTCATCGAATCCGCATTATGCATAAGATCATTCCTAACGTTTTTAACTGCTTCTACTTTTTTCAACAGTTCTCGAGAAGTGCTTTTTATGGGCTTAACTTTCGAAACGATACAAAATAATTTGTACAACGCCGTCATGTCAAAGTTGTTCGTAGATTTCTCAGTTTCAAAAGTCTTCCACAAAAAGCCGCACAAGTTCTTCCATTCACGATGTTCGAAAGTCTTATACTTTTCTATGTAGGTCCTGTAGGTATCATTGTCATCTTTATCCTTGCACTCCAAAGCCAGCAGTTTGCTCGTGTACTTGGGGCACAGCCTCATAATTGCTTCGTGTGTTTGACAAATGCTTTTCATTTCATCGAAAGTTGCGGTAGCCGCGGCTCCTGCTGCGGACGCCATCTTCCAGTGCCTGCGCAAGATAGAAAAGTTATTACTTGTGCTATTTTCATATGGTTGGCGCTTTTAGCCAACACTAAATGTAGTGATTGGCTGCGGAACTTGGGACCAAGTTCTGAGCAACAGCTTCAAGTCGTAACTCCCATACCATACATGCAATGTATTAAAGTTCAATTCAGTGACTGGCATCATTTGGGTTACTTAACTCCGGCGGCAACACAGGTCAACATGACAACTGAGAAATATCAACAGCATTCATCGCTTTGCGGGTGAACGAGCGTAAAGTTATGTCGTCAAGTGTGTCCAGGTGAATGATTCAAAAATATGCGCAAGAGATGCAAATTAATTTGGACAGTAGTTAACTTCCATTAGTATCAAAATTCCTTATAAATAACAACTGAAAATTAGTAAAATTTTAGTAACTATTTAACTAATGAATGTATCACATACTTACAGTTTTGTACTCTTAGTAAATAAAGCTCACATATTCTTTGAGCAAATTTTTTATATCCAATTTTTTCTTCCCGGAACGATCCTGTTTGCTATCTGCTGTTACGTAGTGATGCCATCATTGGCGTATCAAATAATAAGAAATTAGCATGCTGCAAAAATATTGCCTACTTTTAAATTACATTTAATCTCGTGCCATTACTTTCCATTTTTATACAACGATCGATGCTCCAAATGATGGTTAAATGAAATTAGAAAACACCAAGCATCAAACGCCGCAAAGCTTTCATCTCCTGATAACAATGACCAGTAAGGGTAGTTACAACCGATCAACTGCATGCAGGCTACTGGTTAGTGTCTTATAGTTAGCAGGCTACTGGTTAGTGTCCTATAGGGCGCGGGGTGCCCTCGAGGTACATTACCCAGTCGCAGGGCGCCCACGATCCATGACTGAAGTTGATATTATTAATGGCAAATATGGAATTAATCAGACTAAATACCGCGAGCGTTGACAACGGATAACGTTGCATCCAGGCAGCATGTCCGAGTCCACTTTAATGCCCTCGCATTGTTTCATTTCACCTCTGAGGACCTGTATGACTTAGCTTTAACCTGTATGACTCAGCATTAACCTGTATGACTCAGCATTAACCTGTATGATTTAGCTTTAACCTCAATGACTCAGCATTAACCTGTATGACTCAGCATTAACCTGTGGTGACTCGAACTTATATCTCGCACTAATATTTCTCTTGAATGTCATAATTAATTTTATTAAACCATTAAACTCATGAATATCAACCTCTGTTACAATATCTTACTTAATTATCTTGATCTCGATTGCTTATTTCGGATTTCATTAATTTCATTATTGAACCATTATAAAAAATATCCAGTCAGTTAATCATCAACTTTTGAGCACGAATAACACTCGTGGAATTCCTGAATGGTAAAAAAGTTTAGTAAATGTCAAAATAATTTTATGTTTAAATCGTACCAGCAAATATTGTGAATTTTGTTAAGAACGCCAGTGAAGAACCATTTGCCAATCGCGCATTAGCTAGTCATTTTCCTGAACGACGCGTGGGGGTGAACATCTAATGGGATAAGACGCTAAGTTCTTCACTACAATTCAATTAATTTAATGCAATAAATATTTCAGTGTCACTGTCATAATTGAATCATTTGTATTTTCTGTATTCTTTGATATTGTTATTCCATTGTGTTCATGCCATGTCAACTCTAACGGCCAGCACTGATACAGGTGTTGATCGGCGGATTCTTTCTTCAGCCCGACTTTCTTCAATAAAAAACTGAAACTTGAGATTCTTTACTCCAATCCCACAAGACGTGTCAGCTAATTAATTAGGGAAGAGGGAAGGCTGCCGTAAAATCTTCCTCAAAACCCAACCACCAGCAAAACCTCCCTCTTCTTCAAACCTGGATGACTTAGTTTCAACCTGTATGACTCAGCATTAACCTGTGTGACTCAGCATTAACCTGTATGCCTCAGCATTAACCTGTATGACTTAGCTTTAACCTGAATGACTCAGCCTAAACTTGAATGACTCAGCTTTAACCTGTATGACTCAGTATTAACCTGTATTGCTCAGCATTAATATGTATTAGACATCATTAACCTGCATATACAGCTTAACATGTATATACAGCTTTAACCTGCAGATACAGCTTTAACCTGCAGATACAGCTATAACCAGCAGATACAGCTTTAACCTGCATATACAGCTTTAACCTGCAGATAGAAATTTACCCTGCAGATACAGCTTTAACCTGCAGATACAGCTTTAACCTGCAGATACAGCTATAACCAGCAGATACAGCTTTAACCTGCATATACAGCTTTAACCTGCAGATAGAAATTTACCCTGCAGATACAGCTTTAACCTGCAGATACAGCTTTAACCAGCAGATACAGCTTTAACCTGCAGATACAGCTTTAACCTGCAGATACAGCTTTAACCTGCATATAAAGCTTTAACCAGCGGATACAGCTTTAACCTGCAGATACAGCTTTAACCTGCATATACAGCTTAACATGTATATACAGCTTTAACCTGCATATACAGCTTTAACCTGCAGATACAGCTTTAACTTGCAGATACAGCTTTAACCAGCAGATACAGCTTTAACCTGCAGATACAGCTTTAACCTGCATATACAGCTTAACATGTATATGCAGCTTTAACCTGCATATACAGCTTTTTTCCAATCCGTGCAGAACCATAATTTGTGTTAAAGTTTCTTTTTAATATTTAATAAACTTGTGCTTTATTTTGGTGCAAATTAAAATATTTTTTTCGGTAACAATTGAAAGCAAAAGATATTATTGCGTGTAAAAAATATTATACGCAAAATGAATCGTTTTTAATTTTTCGTAATGTAAACTGAATATTTTGGCTACTAATAAAAGAATGACTGCATAGATTATTAGTGTTGTCGAGATAAGAAAGTCTTATAAGATATCAATCAAATGAGACTCGTTCCTACGAGCTTTGAATAGAAACGGAAGAACTGAACTAGACAAGCTCAGCGGGCTATACATGATCGCAGTGATATCACGTATATTTCTACATGCAATTGCTCCTATATTAGGTTTTGTCACCTCTGACCTATGCCGTGACCTCATGTGGACACTCTTTATTTTTTCATAGTATATGAATATACAAGTCTAAATGAATTAAAAATCTAAGTAACGTGACAAAATTTTTTCCAATTCACGACATCGTAGAATAATAATAGTCAAAAGCATATCGAGATATATTGCTGCGATGTCGTGATATATTGCTATATCATGCAGGACATCGAAGAATAATATTGTTTAATAATTAATAATATAATCAGTTACGAACACGCAAACCTTTTTATCACAGTAGACGAAGGAATTCGGATATTCCAGCTCCAAAGGTCGCGTTATCATTTAATTTAAATGCTGAATAACTTGCGACTGCCATGAACATAACTAACAAAATAATTGAGGTTAGTTCAGCTGACCCGCCAATTTATGCTCAGCCTAGCAAGACGAGTGTTCGTGACAGAGCCAACAGATCGCTGCTTTTATCAGAAATTGAGCTGTTATCAAGGTTTAAAGTGTACGTACAATGTTGCAATCGTTGCGATTCCGAACCATCAAGTTACCCACATCGAAATGCACCACATTTACGACATGTACGGCGCAAGCAAGTAAAAGATTTATATTTTATATTACAAGTATGTTTTTAAATGTTCAAATAATATTCAAATGTTACCAAACATATAAAGATTACAAGATTACTGATTCCATGAAAAATTTAATCTCGTGGAACAATCGAAATTACGGCTCAATCATTTCCCCTTCCTCAAGTTCGCTTTTCCTGTTGTGAGGCGGCATACGTCAAGAGGTATACGTTGAACATGGACAATACTTCTGACATGAACATCCCAGTTAAAATTTAGGGCAGGGAATAGAGCAGGCCGTCGCCGGCTGCAGAGCCGGCGTAGAGACGCGACAGAGCAGCGATAGAGCAGAAATGTCCGCTTTAGAGACGATATCGCCAGCCGCGTATCAGCGCTAATTAGCTTCTGAGTACCTGCCCAGGTGTGCTCCTGTCTCTTATACACATCTAGATGTGTATAAGAGACAGGCGCTAAAACAGCGCAGAGTTCCGGCCCTGCCGAGCTGCTAGAATTTTGTCTCTATATCAGCCATGGCGCAGCGCAGTTTTAGGGATAGATGGCCGGTTATTGTTTCACGGCTCCATCCTGCTAAAGCGCGACCAGCCCGGCTAAACCCGGCGCCGGTCTCGGCTCAAAATTTTAACTGGGATGGACAGAGACCTGATGCATGTACATATGTTGAAACCCAAGTGTAACAGATGCGTCCGTGCAGCTGCTACACCTAACTCACCATATTCATGCCAGGTGTGCAGCTGCAGGTGTTACATCTGATGCAACGACTGCACCAGGTGTGCAGTTGCAGGTGCTACATCTGAAACCATAAGCCCCGTTTTTTGCGCAGCTCTGACAGGCAGGTAACAGTGATAACGTCGCGCGGCATTTATCTCCGTTATAACACAGCCTGACGTTTGTGAGGTCAAGTCGACGCTGATAGCAACTTAGTTAACCGCCGATTAATAGCGGCTATTTATTACAAAAACATTATGTATTATAACAACATTGCATGGCCAATTTCTGGTTACATCGTCTCTGTATTAGTCGCCATGTAAAAGCCCTTCCATTTAACGTAAACTGTCGTAAAATTGTAATAAGAATTACACGAATTTGGAGGAAGATATTATTGAAATTTTCAGCTTATTTCGTTTATAAGTCTTTTATTTTACGAGGGTCAAGGGCAAAAATTGTATCGTTTTATTCCTAATGCAAATATCCATCGATTCTATAAGTCATTCTTTGATTTATTATTCAAAATTATGAAAAGTGAATGTGGGTGGGGCTTAAAATGGAAAAAATACCCCAAG